AAACACCCAGATTCCCAAGGTGAAAAATCGGACGGCGTCCATCGGTACCTAAAATTGTCTCCTGTGCCATTTTGGGAAACACTGCCATTTGGGAACGTTTCTGGTCTCCCCCGCTCCTCTGGGGGAATCCTCACCACTGGGCACCATGGATTATTCACAGTGGCATCTCTGGCAGTGGACCGGTGCCTGGCAGAGAGTGGGCATCATTAAATGTTGGTTCAGAAATGAAAGGGCGCTGAGGTGCCAGCCAGAAGCGCCCGAGGGCCAAAGCCCCGCCTGGGTGCAGGTCAGAGCTGCTGGCCTCAGGATCTGCGCACCAGTGGTCCAAACTGACCCTACCCACGCTAGCCCCCATGTTGGCATCCCAACCAGTGAGTTTCAGGGGGCAAGTTGAGTTAATCCAAGCAGAAATCAAGCAAGTCAAACCTCTCCCTCCCTCTTCTCTCTCTCTCTCTCTCTCTCTCTCTCTCTCTTTCTCTCTGTGGCCGATGCCATCTGCTAGTTTTAAAAATAATTTTTAAAAGCAAGTGTTGTGGTTCTCTTCAATGTGCACCAAAGACAGGCGCTATTTTTAGGCTTGTTTTCTATCAGCACCCCCCACCTCCCCGACCACAGAACCAGGGGCTGGGTGTCGGCAATTCTGGCTTCCCTGTCTGCATTCTGCCACCAACTTGTCTGTGACCTTTTTGCAAATTTCATATGCTCTGGACTCTGAGAACAGGAGCGATTATTCCACCTCCGTCTCTACCTCTCATGAGGGATGTGGAGAGGGTGAAGTTGTACTGTGAGAGAGAGAGAGAGAGAGAGAGAGAGAGAGAGGGAAAAAAAATCATTTGAAAAAAACCAGTTAGCTCAGGGCTCGTCCTCGTCACCTGTCAGCTCTGTCTCGATGTGTGGAATAGGAGTGATCGCGACGGCGGGTGGGAGAGCTCTCACCTCGCATGCAGGGGGTCCCGGGTTCAAAAGCAGACACAATCTTCCCCACGCACAACCTCTTCTGCACTATGGGTCAGCCTCCACTGACCACAAGAGAGGACTCCGGTCCGGCCTTTGTTTTGGGGGGATTGGCTAATGTGGCTTAGCGTGACATTCTGCTGTCATATAGACCTGATGAAAATACATACATAAATAAATTTAATTTTTTTTTAAAAAAAGCAAACACAAATTTGAAATAGAAGTTATCTGCGTCTCCTGCACCACGGGGAATTCTTTTGTGAAAGGTGGGTTCGGGTGGACTGATGGGTGGGTGTGGCTGGGTCAGGATGTGGAAGGTGGTTTGCTATCAAAATGGCGAAGCTCTTGTGAGGAGCTATGAAACCCCAAGAGCTGGGGGGGGGAAGTGGGGTGTAGGGCAAAGATTCCACCCTGGAAATAGCTTCGGGATCTGAAGCCCCAAGCCTCTGCTAACTAACTGTGCACCCTGCCTGCTCCCTCCTCACCTGGAAACGCCACCTTCTTCCCCTGCTCTCCCCTTCTGCACGGAGAGCTCTTAGAAGGGAGTCCTCATCCACGCATCCATCCATCCCACGGCTACCTCAGAACCTCACGGCGGGGAAGCCCGGGGAGAGGTGGTGAGTGGAGACTCTGAATCCAAACTGCACGGGTTCAAATCCTGGCTGTGCAATTTACCAGATAAGCAACCTCCGGTAAGCCCCTTACCCCTTCTGAGTTTCAAATTCCATCTCCTTTTTGGAGGGGAGGGATGAGGAGGGTTCCAGGGATGGAACTCAGGGGCACTCAACCACGGAGCCCCATCCCAGCCCTATTCTGTATTTTATCTAGAGACAGAGTCTCGCTGAGTTGCTTAGGGCCTCGCTTTGGCTGAGGCTGGCTTTGAATTCGTGATCCTCCTGCCTCAGCCTCCCGAGCCGCCCACTGGGATGACAGGCGTTCCCATCTCTTAAAATAGGGAGAATACAGGTCACATTGGGTTGTTTAGAAATGAGTGAGACAAAAATATACGAAGCACCTAGTCACCTAGGGCGTGCCCTCAAGATGGTAGATATATTTCACCATGTGGTCATTATAATCAGGCACTCCACACGCATTTGACAAACTGCTCATACGCTGGCTTACGAGTCTATATAATAGAGCTCTGTGCACCTCAAAGATTATTTTAAGTGGTAGATGGAACATTTATTATATGGCCAACATCGTGCTAGACACTTTCCAAATGCCATGTAATTTATTTCGCTCTGGGGCAGGGGAAGAAGGTGGCGTTTCCAGGTGAGGAGGGAGCAGGCGGGGTGCACAGTTAGTTAGCAGAGGCTTGGGGCTTCAGACCCCGTAGCGACTTCCAGGGTGGAATCTTTGCCCTACACCCCACTTCCTCCCCCCCCCAGCTCTTGAGGTTTCATAGCTCCTCACAAGAGCTTCGCCGTTTTGATAGCAAACCACCTTCCACATCCTGACCCAGCCACACCCACCCATCAGTCCACCCAAACCCGCCTTTCACAAAAGGATTCTTCAGGGTGCAGGAGACGCAGGTCATTTCTATTCCATTTTCTTTCTGTCCTTCCTTCCTCCTTCTTTCTTTTTTTCTTTCTTTCTCAATGACCCCGCCAAGTGGGTCTAATGATCAGCGAAGGTGTAGTACAACTGGAGTTTGCTCAGCACTGATCTGGCTTCGATAACTCGGGCATCTTATCTGTGTCTCATTGATAGTTTGCAGCCGGGGGCGGGGTGGGGGCATGCTTGATCTGAGCCCCTCACTGACTCTGTTGGAGATGGGTGCTGATATCATCCTCTTCTTACAAGTGAAGTGATCAAAGCTCAGGGAAAGAAACGGATCTTCCCAAGCCCGCCCCACTAGAAACTGGCGCCAGACGGCGGGCCTTCCATTTAGAGGCCCACTAGCTTCTGTTCATTTGCCCAGGTCATGTACACTGATGGCTTGCTTTGGCCAGGTGTCGTGCTGGCTACTTGGTACACAGTGATGAATAAATTTGACATGTCCCTGGCTTTGTGGAACTTTAGACAATTTTTTTTTTTTTTTTTTTGGAGAGTGAAAAAGCAAAACCTTGCATTATGATCCTTAAGCCTTACGTGATCTGAGTCCCTCGTAGCCTCTCTGGCCTCCTTTCCCATCTTGTCTCCTCTCTTCTCTAATCACACAGTTCCCTATGGATCCTAAAGCCCATCAGGTGCATGCTAGCCTCAGGGCCTTTGCACCGGCTGTTTCCACCACCCCGATAGGCTCTTGCTCTCGATTTCTGCGTAGCTGTTTCTATCACCTCCTCCAAATCTTTGCTGAAATATCTTCTCAGTAAGTTTTATCCTGAGCCCTTGATGGAATCTGGAAGTCTTTCCTCCATCCTTCATCCCATCTGGCATTCCCAATCTTTTGAAAATTTTTTTTTCTGTAGTACTTAATTCCCTGAACCACTCTATATCATTTATATATCATGTCTAATGTGCTCTTTATCGATGTTATCCTAGTCGAAGAAAGATAAAGACAAGGAGTTGTTGTTGACTTTGTTCCCTGATTCATTCCCCCCGCACCTCTAACCCGGTACCCAGGAGGGCTTCATAAATATTTTAAATTTAATTAGTGAATAAATAGAGAAAGAATCACTGGGTTAAATATATAATTACCAATTATGATGGGATGAGAGGGGGGGGAAAAAGCCCACAGAGGTTCGTGCAGGAATGTAACAGGCAGACCTAATTTAGATCGGGTGGGTTAAAGAAGTGTGTTTTTTTTAGGCTGAGAGAACATGAGCACTACAAATAGTCGGTGCAGACCCCGCCATCGCAAACCGAAAGGAAGGAGCGAACCTTTATGCCGAACCCCAGCGCAAGTCTCTAGGAGGACGTGAGGCTATTCATCCGCTTAGCAGAAACGCCCTCAGGTGGAAGGACAGACAGACAGACAGCAGGGGATCGCGGGGTTCTGCCCGACTCATTTGACCCTAGCTGGGGTTCTCTGACCCCCACTTTCCAGAGAGGAGGCCCAGACACCACCCAGCCACCCGGAGGCAGAGCAGCATTCCCAAATAAAGCCCCTTACTACAGAAACCTGCACACGCTCACTGTGCACCTGCTGTGCGCTAGTCTCAGGACCAGGAACAGGCTCACACCTTCCGCGGAGGAGGACACAGCCCCCGACTTGAAGCCCAGAACGGGCTCCCCATTTCTTTTTCCGGCCCCAATTCCCTGACCTCTCTCTGGATGTGTCTTTCTCAGCGACTATTTCCCAGACTTTGAAAATGCACGTGCTGCCTGGGCTTTCCTAACCACTGTGCTATCTGTGACTGCCTGGACTATCGTCTAGGGTCAGAGCTCCCGGGCTGAAGACATCAGGAAGCATGGATGGTGGCACGGTTTCTGTGGGTCAGGAGCTGGGACCACAGCCCCCCCCCCTGAAGGCTTAACTGAGGGTCTGCTTCCAAGGTGGTCCGCGCACACACGACGGGGGAGCTGGTGCCGGCTGCTGGCAGGAGATCTCCACCCCTTACCCGGGGACCTGTCCTTAGTGCTGATCGGGTGTCTACATGATGTGGCTGCTCTAAGGTCTTTTATGATCTAGTCCCTGAAATTGTGCCCCCTACTGGTTACACGATCCAGTCCTACCCATTGAGGGAAGAAGGTGCTATCCAAGGACATGAGCAGCAGGGGACATGAACAGAGGCTGGCTTCCACAGCTACCTCCTACCCACACTATTATTTCCATAACGTTTCCCGCTTTTTTGTTATAATTAACCTGATCCTAAACAGTCGTATCAATTAAGCCACAAGATTAGTGGGCTAATTATATTTTCCAGCACAAAGGAACTTAAAAAAATCGTAGTTATTAATTTTCAGAACGATTGCCGCTCCACCTAGCCTCCCTTGCGTACTCCCAATAGCACAGGTTTTATACTCCGGGAGACGTGCAGCATGTGTCAGAGTCCTGGGGTGGGTTGGTGAGAGGTGGGATCCTAAATTCCAGCGAGTTTCCTTCTGGAACCCAAGAAACCACAGGATGCTGACTTCGCCCTTGGCTCTCTCTCTTTCTCCAGGACCGCCTGTATTTTGTGATGGAGTACGTGAACGGGGGCGACCTCATGTACCACATCCAACAAGTGGGCCGGTTCAAGGAGCCTCATGCTGTGTAAGGGGAAACTCGTGCTTCTTTTTTTCCTTGGAATCATGGATGGTTTGTTAGTTCCTTTGGGGTTTTTCACCAAAGGAGGGACTTTGAAACATCGGGAGCTCCTTCTTTGCTTGAAGTCCTTGGCCACAGGAAGAAGGTGTCCTCCTTAATGTGAGTGGCTTCTTTTGGCCCCTGACACCAGCTCAGAATATGGAGTCCGGCAACCCACGGCTATTTCTTTCTCTTTAATCCTTGACCCTGATTCCAGAGGAAGGACTCGTAGCTTCCTTAGGGAATGTCCTTGCACTTACTCTATGCCAGGTTCCCGAGCGATCAACAAACATGTTCCCATTTAATCCTGACAACAACCCTGGGAGGTGGGGATCTCTGGTTTGCAAACAGAAACCGGAGACCGAAAGGCTTTCGGAAACTTGCTCAGGGCTTCACTCTAAGGAGATGGAAGACCAGGAGAGGGAGACCAAGGCCAGGTTTGGATGAGTCTCTTTTGTCCCCTTCAGAGTACAAACCAGCCGGACCTCTTCTTCTTAGAATAAAGATCCCTGCTTTTGTCCAAGTGAAATAAGCCGGACACAAGAAAGAAAAAGAAAGAAACCATACTGCATGTTTCCTCATAGATGAAACTTTAAAAAAAAAAAAAAAGAAAAAGAAAAATAAATAACAAATTAAAAAATGTTGATCTGAAGGAAGAAGAAGGATTACTAGGAACTGGGCGGGGGGGGAGAGGGGGCAGGGAGAAGAAGAGATGCACCTCTGTGTGTGTGTGGCAATACCTCAGTAAACCCATCCCTCTGTGCAATCAATAGTAAATATAAGGAGACGTATTTTAAAGGACTCTATGGGTGAACAGAGACGTGGCAGGTCACAGGAATCAGCATCAGCACCGGTTCCTGGGGATCTCATGGCCCCTCCTGAAGGCCCCCAGAACATGTCTAGGCCCCCCACCTGTCACTCCTGGGACTTGCTGGCCCCTCACGTCCACCTGCTGAGCTCGGGAGCACCCTGTTGTGGTTGTGCTTGTGAAGCAAGCCGTTGGCCTCTCTGGGCACAATTCTAATCAGACTGTAGCTCTCGCTCCCCTCTCATTTCGACATCCATGGGCCACAGGCTGAATTCCATGAGCCCGGAAGACGTATTGCCGGGGCTTAACCTCGTTCCCCGGAACCCTGCCCAGCGCTGACGGCATAAATGGGCTTCCTGGTCCTTTCAGATGCCCTTTCCGCCGGGCGGACCTTCACTGAGAAGTGATGCTTAGACCCATGTTGCTCCCAGTCCTGGCTGTGCCCCCCACATTGGCTACGTCATCTTAAGAGTCCGTCCCCCTCAGCCTCAATGGTCCTCATTAGAACAGGGAGGCACTAGTAGGGCCTATAGCACAGGATTATGATGAGAATTAGAGGCCACCTCATAGGACACTAGGCGGAGGGATGCTGGCTGCTGTTATTAAGATATTTTATCTGGGCTGGGGATAGAGCTCAGTGGGTAGAGGGCTTGCCTCGCATGCACGAGGCCCCCAGCTCAAAAGAACTTATCATGTTCCAGCACCACCAAAAAAAATTTAAAAAAAATTTTTTTTTAACTGGTCATAGTCTGAGACTCCCATTCCCCATCCGGTCCATCAGAGCCCATGGGACCCTCCCACTATGCAAATGACAAACCTTTGCCTACCCCCAGTCTGTCCTCCTGGCTCTGGGGCACCCGTCCACCCATTTGTACCCTGGTGAGCTGGGCAGCTGACCGTCCAGGGGAGACTTCTTCCAGCTGCCCAGCAGAAAGGTGCCTTTGAATTTCTCCAATCTCTCGTTGTCTCTTCTTCGTTTCAGATTTTACGCTGCAGAAATCGCCATCGGCCTGTTCTTCTTGCAGAGCAAGGGCATCATTTACCGGTAAGTGCACCCGGCCCAGCGCCTCCCCGTTCCCTGCCTCTCTCTTCCACTGCTTTTAAAATTAGCACCCGCGGTGGGGGAGGAACCCTCCAGGACTAACTTGGGCATGTGTTCTGCCAGGCAGCTTCGCCCACTGCCCTGGCAAAGTTTGGGCAGCTCTCTGTGGTGACAGAAAAATCTTGAAGGACTGTGTCACCAACGATCCAGGGCCTCCAACATGAGGCCACCTGCTCTAAGAGGAAGAGGCTGGTCCAGGGGGGGCCCGGGGACTTCTTCCTCTTGCCCGTGGACCCCCAGCTTTGGGGGAGTACGTAAAGAATCTTGGGGGGCAGGACGTGGCAGTTTCATATTATTATGAAACTTTTTTTTTTTCATTTAACGACAGTTTTGGAAATAGATCTCTGAGTAGCACGCCCTGAAAGACAGGATTAAGTTCAGAACTTGGCATTTGCCAGTCTTTGGAGGAGCAAGCGTATGATCAGAGCGGTGTGAGTCATACCGTTTTATATTCCATGCAAGGCCGACTGTGGAGCCCCAGGCTGCTGTGTGTCACAGTGTCCAGAGTGGGCCATTCTCCTTGTGCCACATGGATGCATATGACAGAGATGGCAGGGGTTTGGGATGGGTTCTTATTGCAAGAGAGGGTGGCACGGGGCAGGGGGCTTCCAAACAGCACTTGGCATGGGTGAGGTTAAAAGATGCCCAAGGGCCATGAAAATGCATTTTATTCATTCATCCTGCTCTGTGCTAGGTGCTGCTCTGGGTGGAGGGATTGCAGCAGGCAAGATATTGGACAAAACTCTTGCCTTCGAGGGGCTTATATATTAATGGTGGGAAACAGATTCGTGTATCAGAATAGAGTCTGCCAAATAGTGATAAATTCCATTAAAAATAAAACTCAGTGAAGTAGAGTGGCTTGTGCTGGGTGGTGGAGGGCCATGTCATTCTGTGGAGGGCCTGGAGGTTAGGGTCTGGAGCTAGAGGGTCTTGGGAGGTCCTGGGCCCCCTGGATACTGTTAGATAGTAAGGCCGCTCTGCCAATGCTTGCCCTCCGTGCACGGAGCCTGCACACGGATCTCCACATCAGCACGAGAGAGACACCCAAGTCCTCTGGTCCTCAAAATCCAGCCCCAGGATGGGAACCCAGGGAGAAAGTAGAGTTGTCGTCAACCGTGTTGGGATTTAGGGCTAGTTCCAGCCAATCAAGACCCCTGCATCCTTGACACCAGCCAATCAAGACCTTTTGTAACTTAAGTTTGAACTGAGCTGCCAGGATCACTTCCAACCACAAGGACACAGGTAACTTTCAGTCTAGCAGGGAGTCAGATTAGGATCTGGGGTTCATGGATCCTGGTGGCACTGGCCAAGCTGGTCCTAAAACCCAGAGATGAGCATCTCAGGGGCTAAGACCATCCCTACGACCCTACAGCCCTTCCTCCCAACCTACTGACCCACCATTATCAATATAGCTCTTAAAGGAATCTGCATCAATATTTTAAGCCAATAGGCATCTGAATCATTCTCTTTGCAAGAACAGAGTCGTTTGGTCCTATAAAGGTTGGGGCTGCTAGATGCTACTGCCACAATCTCCCTGCACCCAGGGTCTATATGTGATGCAGGATCAGACACCTATCACACCCAAGGTCTCGATTCAGAAACTAGTGACCAAGGAACCAAGACCATGGATTTGAGAGCGACTGTCGTGGTCTGGAAGAGCTGGTTTTCAGAGCCAGGAGGAGATGCGGTTCTTGGCAGTATTGGGATTTCCAAGGACAAGAGGCCACGCTCGTGTCTGGCAGTATCCTCAGTCACGTGCAGTGGTAGCCTGAGTCGTGTCCGGTGGTGCTCGGGGACCAGCTATGCATCATAATCATGCACTGTGTCTGGCCCTGTGGCCTCCCCACCTGGTTCCCCAGCCTCCTCAGAGATGCTGGAGATGCTGGGAGATGGAGTTCTGGAAATTGATGATCAATTGAAAACTGTAAAAAAGGAATCACAGGACAAGAGATGTGTGGCTCTGTAATTTCATAGATAATGCCTTCATGGTGGTAAAGCTTTTCAAAACGTTTCAAATTGCTCCCTCCTTCCTTTAGATCTCTATTTCATTGGACGGTTCTTAAGAGGATGAAGAATTATGTTAGAGTTCCCCTCTCTGAGGATAGTAGCTGGATACAGTGGGTGGGGAGGGTGTCCGCCATAGATCCTGCCTGTCCAATGGAGGATCGGATTTATTGACCACTTTCCCTGGAAATACGTGTGGATTCTGCCCTGTATTTTTTTTTTTTTTTTGAAAATGAAAAAAAAAAATTGCCCCAACCACCTTTTGAAGCAGAAATGAGAATTTAGTATCTAGAACCAAGGAATACCATATAATATCAAAGGCAATGGATAAGACTGGGTGTTCTCCAGCCCCAAGACCTGTGGCTCTTGGCATCTGAAATTCCTTCGCTATATTAAATGAAGATGTTCTCATGTCTCTGATTGACCCGGAGGCTCATTTCTGGGCATGTTGTCAAGCCAAGAGGAAGGAAGTTATGGATTTCTATAGTGAAGTCACATGTAGGGCGAGTATATGGAGATAAATCAAGATGCCGCAGGGTTCAGCATTCCTGAGTTCTGACCCGGCATTCAGAGATCACCATGGCTTCTGGGTAAGCATGCACCCTGGACCTGGGTGGTACCATGGACAGCGCCCAGGGTAGCAGGATGGAAATAACGTGGCTGTGGGCGAATGGTGGGTGCAAATGGACATCCCTTTGGATGAAGGGACCTCACTGGCCCTCAAGGAAAGTCCATCCTGTGTCCTTGTGGTTGGAAGTGATCATGGCAGCTCAGTTCAAACTTAAGTTACAAAAGGTCTTGATTGGCTGGTGTCAAGGATGCAGGGGTCTTGATTGGCTGGTGTCAAGGATGCAGGGGTCTTGATTGGCTGGTGTCAAGGATGCAGGGG